TGTTTTTATGGAAAGATACCGAGCGGTACCGAGCATGTTTAGCTTCTCGGTGCCGCTTAATACCATTCGGTACCCCTCTATACCGAGCAATTTCGAGCGGTACCAAGCAATACCGAGTTACAATACCGAGCGATACTAAGTTCTAATACCGAGCGGTACCAAGTTCCAATACCGAGCAGTATTGAATTCCAGTACCGCTCAGTACCGAGCAATACCGAGTTACAGTATCGAGGGGTACCGAGTTCCAATACCGAGCAGTATTGAGTTTCAATATCGCTCGGTACCGAGTAGTACCGAGCAATACCGAGTTCCAGTACCGAGCGGTACCGAGTTCCAATACCAAGCGGTACCGAGTTCCAATACCGAGCGGTACCGAGTTCCAATACCGAGCGGTACCGAGTTCTAGTACCGCTCGGTATCGAGCAGTACCAAGCAATACTAAGTTCAAGTACCATTCGGTACCAAGCGGTACCGAATACCGAGTTTTGATACCCTGCCTATGATTAAGAAAACGAAGAACGAAGAAAACGAACCTTCACTGCTCACGTCGCCTTCACTGTTTGCATTGTCAAGCCGCTCTGTCGATGAAGGATGATCCTATCGACTTTAATGCTCGCGTCGTCAAGCCTCTTTGTCGACAAAGGATTATCTTGTTTTCTTCTATGCTCGTGTCATCGAGCCGCTCCTTCAACTATAACGAAGAAGACGAACACTTGTGTGGAAACGAAAAACCTAGCTCTTTGAAATGTTTCAGCCGCATAAATGAATATGAATATTGAGCAGAAACGCCGAAAGGCCAAAATGAATAGGGTAAATTGTGGCTCCGCTTTTTCTTTCTTTTTTTTAATAGGACACGCGTATCCAGTCAAATTTAAATAATATTTTAATTGGACACGGCAAAGCCGTATCCGACACGTATTCGTGCCGTATCGGAGGCGTATCCGTATCCTACACGTGTCCGATACAGCACGCCTCGTAAATAGGAGTATCCGTGCAACATAGATGCAGACCATGCACATAAATTACACATAGAATACGCAGTAATCCATATTAATAACTTGCTATTAAATGATTTAATTTAATTAAGTAAATAAATTTATTTATGTCTTTTACCTTGTTATACAATTTTAAAGGCTGAGGGTCATGACATGAATAATAATTTTTATTAGCTATGGACTGACGGGTGGCAGATATGATTGGGAGGGTTGGTTGAATTTTTATGAGCTTTTATTGACATTTTATTGCGTACCCTTGTTCAATATTCTACTTTTCACTATATAATGCGAGAACACTTGTCTTAGGGTACTCATGATTATGCAAATAGAAGTAATGCAGCCTGGACAAAATGTAAAATTTTTTATTTCAGAAACTAAGTCTAAGGCTGTTGTTAGTTTATGATTCTTTTGAGGAAGAGGATAACTAAGTAGATTGCAAAATCGTAAGAATAAAAAAATTAGTTAATCATCAACCTCAAACGAATCACAAACTACCAGCAACCTTAGATTTATTTCTGAAGTAAAAAATATTTCCTTGTGTCTGAGGCTGCGTTACTTCTGTTTGCATAATCATGTCTTCGTAAGAAAGCAAAACTCCTTGACCCCTACATCTAAAATTCTTTTGGTTAAATTGTTTTCATAGAATGTATATAGGTTCTCTTGTAATTGTTATTAATGTTCTTTTAATTGGTTCCTTGTATTTTTTATTTTATAAATAGACATTTTTTTATTGTTTAAAAGATAAAGAACTTTTTTAATGATTTTTTTAATTTTTTTTTAAAATAAGCAAGGAATACGCAGAGAGTACGCACAACATATACAGAGATTACGCACAATATACACATAAAATATTGCTGAACACATCCAGTACGCATACTTTATGTAGAAAATCATCACTTTTATTAACTATTAATACAAAATCATACATTAAGTTACAACTGCTCCAACTGCTAATTTACAAATACTTTAAAAATAGATTGCAAACCTGCATCCCGGACATTCACAGGGATTATTACAACCAACACCAATTCCTAACTCTATTAGATAAACATCTCTCTTATTCAAACACTAAGATAACTCTAAAAATCACTAAGGTTCCTCTTGATATAATGATAAATCATTCCAGCCCAAAAAGTTGAATGGCAACATCATTGGATCTTAAGATTCCATGAGTAGCAAGCTTGTCTCAAAGCAAGCAGTGGCTACTCTATGGATTTTTCATAACCCCTTCTAAATATGAAACAATTAAAAATTAAAAAAAAAAAAGCTTTAAATTACAAATAACTTAAAGTAGAACCACCCCAACAAATAAAATTAAACATTTTTATTCTACAACAAAACAATACAGCACATGTAATATGACATACCACAAAACCAACACACACTTAGATGCAAAATCCCTAAGCATGCTAGGATTAGAATTTTTTTTATGTACATGTAGTTGATATTTTAGTGTGATGTTTTGGATTGTGTGTATTGTGGGGAGTTGCCCTTCAATGATTAGGATAGAAATATATGTTCTTTTTAGCAGGTGGTCATGTCCAAGAGAGGATAAAGGTACCTTACAGCGATACGAGTAAATTTTCCAATAAGCTTGACGGACAAAAATTGCACCGCAACCTCCAAAACTCAAGGTTTTCTTTCTCTCCTCTCTTTTTCTCTAATTTTTCTCAAGCCATTTCTCTGTTAGCCATTAGCCGAAGTTGAAAGGGATTTTAATAAAAAACTTTAAGTGGATTAAGATATTTTAATAATATAATATTTAATCTAATCAATTTTTTTGTATAAAATTTAAATAAATTATTTTAGGAATTCAAAAATTATCGAAAAATATTCATAAAAGAATTTAGTTTATTTAAAAAAATATCGATGAAATTAATTTGCAAAACGGACACCTGACGGTCTCAAAATCCTCACTTGTACCAACAAGTGCCAATTTCTTAAGAATTTTCGACAGTGTCCAAATATTACAAAAAAAATTGTGCAATTAAAGTATATAATAACAATGCTATAGTGAAGACAGTTTGTGATTTGGAATTATATTGATTCCATAAAATATTTATTTACCTCAGTTAAAATACTGGCTATTATACCCTCCTAAACTTTGGTCTACCAAAGTAGAATGTACCATGACCCATTGGAAGCAACAAATTGCATGCAGCACTCAATCCTAAAATCATCAACTTTCATACTACTTGTTAGGTATGAAGAAAACCAAATGGGGATAAAATTTAGGCCAAACGAACGAGTGGTCAAATAAATTTGAAACTAAAAAACATAAGCTTATGGGTAGGGAAAATGGCATAGTATTTCAACACCATCAGTTTTTAGCTATCCACTATAAGACTAAATCCAAGTCTTTTAGGTGCCTTACCACAATAAATGTATGGAAAAGCAAGAGAAGATAGATTAGCAAATGCTTAAACCACATTACATGACAAAGTAACATCTAAAAATATGATTATAGAATTAGGTAATTTTTGTGTAATTAATGAAGAATAAAAAATGCACCAATTGGACTTGAATACAATCATATGTCTTTTTAGGTATTTAACATGTAGTCGATAGGTTATTGAAGAAGAGCTCACCCACTGGTTATGAAATCCAACTCTACAAAGGATTCATCAGGGAGTCGAGTCCAACGTGAAAAGTTTGAGATATTCGCAATTCATTGAACTAGCCACTCGACCCTAATGAACAACTCACCAACAAAGCTGCTCACCCTCTATCTTAGCAGGGGAAGACCTTAATCTCAATCTCACTCGCATCCTCAATAATAGGGAAAGTATTTATTCAAGAGACTCTCTGCTTGCCCATCCTCAATCAGCCGGCCATAGAGTTTGTCTTCCCAACCACACAAGCTCACCTGCCTCTCCTTTTGCAAGGCAAACTAGAGCTCTAGCAAAGGCTACTAGTGACTCCGGGAACCCACCAGCATCAATTTCCTCCGTTCATGACTAGCCTATATCTGCTCCCCTATATGTACTCGGCACTCTAAAGTTTACAAAGAAGCAAATTAAGTTAAGCTCAAGAAAGGTTACACCACACCACACCCAACTAGAGGGTGACACATGGACAAGCCAATCAGCAGTCATTAAATTCTTATATTTTTTTTTATTCATTTCATTTATGCAACCTTTTTTGTAGCTATCTGATCCCTATCAATAAATTGCGAAGAAGAACATTTGGGACTTTTAGTATTCTCTACTATTATTACTACTTGAATTAGTGTACTCTGTTTCTTTTTTTCCCCCTAGCTTTATCTCCATTCTCACAGGTTTCCAATTTAAACTCATTGAGGTTGTCTGCTATTAAGGTAGAGTATTACAATGAACATATTTGGATTCAATACAACAATAGATAAAATTAAAAATAAATAATGAAAAAGGTCCCAAATCTTTTCAAGTGTCACTTTAATCTCAAATTTCTCCAAACATCCAAACTTTCAAAGCCCACTTCATTAGTTTAAAGTTGTATTAAATAGTGAGACCTGAAAATGTGTAAAATGTCATTATGAAAAGCTTCCTTCCACCAAATTCTATCCAAATAAACTAAAAAATTAATAATAGGACCAATTTGTCTAAGATTTGGTAGTTAACGAGTTAAATTGAACACTTAAAACAATTTAGGTCAAGAATGGGCACACCTAAAAAATCTATGGAACGTTTTGATCATTTACCAAAAACGTTAATGTTTAATGATGAGGAAAGGAAAGGGATCGATAGATCAAGGATAACTTTGGTAAAACTTGTACAAAAAAATTCAAGTTTAAGACCAAAGAAAACATAAAAGTTGCAGAAAAAAGATTTACCCAAAATAGGTTTAACACCTCGTCGTTTTCAACAAAGATGAATGAAAAAAGAAGATTCATAAAGCAATAGAAAAATAATTTGGATAAGAAAGTGGAGGATCAGAATAATATAAAATGTATCAAAAAAATTGTAATTATGAATTATATGTAATAATGCCAACACACTTGCAAGACTGAGATCAAAATATCCGAACCTTAGTAGGATTTCCATCATAATCAAATGCCCTTGCAGCTGGTGGCCCACGTATCTCAACCTCACTATCTCCTTGCCTTGAACTAAGATTCTCAATGTAAATCTACAAACAGATGAAACTTGAGCATTAAATATTTTCAGAATTATTAGAAAAGAAAGAGCAAATGGTCAAATTATAAATTAATGAAAACCAGCACTACAATACAAGGGGATACTTCAGCAGCAAAGTTCCATTGAACATGACATATTTTAAATCGGCTCATGCAAGCTTCTTATTTGTCTCTCACGCAATCAAACAACAATTGAGGAACCAAATAAAATTCATTGACGCAGCAATTGCAACCATAACTTCAAAATATTCTGTGACGTGCCTCTTTAAAGAAAAACATATCTCATCAGTTGTACAACACAGCAACCAATATTCAAAAGCAAATCAAATAAAAGCATAAGCAAAATCTTTACATCAACAACAACAATATCAAGCCTTTGTCCCACTACATGGGGTCGGCTTATTTATATATATATATATATATATAAGATAGAATTTCTAGATAATAGGCTTCAATCTCTTTTGAAAATAATAAAGTCCCCCGAAACAAAGTAGACTGCTATGCCATTTAAACCATAATTTGAAACTTCTCCTTCATAGAAGAGGATTCAATCTTCCTAAAAATTGTCAACTCCAAAATGAAGTACCTTGCTATGCCATTTCAAGCAACAACATCCTCGGTCTACGGTGGAAAAGAAATAAATTAAGAGGTTGTTTTCTAAAAAGGATGCATAATAAAAGGAATATAGTGTATTTAAAGTTGTTTGGATAAGTATAAAAAAAAAGCAGCAGATTTTTTTTTTCGCTTGAAGTGAAATGAATGCAATGTAAAGTTAAATGATGGTGTTGGCTAGTAGCGGCGATAGTCAGCAATTGGTGACTGGTGACAAGCATAAACAACTCAATCAGCCTCCGATGAAAAAGGAATTTGACCAAAACCGGTTGAGTTTACAATACATAACAAAAATGAAAAAGGGAGTCAAAAAGGAATTTAAGAAAATTCTCTTTTTTTTCATCAAACCAAACACCCAGATTTTAAAATCCTCTGCATCACGTTTTTAGCAACCCAAATAGCCCCAAACTAATTGAAGTTATCAAAACTATCAAGCTGACATTTAACAAAAATATCTATGCAAATCCATTATCGGAGGAATTACCACAACTCGACGTGGTGTACAATGAGCCACAACTTCTCCATGGCATAATCGCCGTTTTTCTAGCGTCAACAAAATTAAGCTTTTAATCTGCAAATGAAGGAAATGATTAAAAGTGGATAAATTAAAAATAAATAAATAAATTTAAATAATAAACTCATTTTCAAGAAAATAAATGAAAATGAAATAATTCATGAGTAGTCATAATGGTAAAGAAATATATTGCATGTAGTCAATCTAACTCTCCCTTGAAAGTCGATATAACTTGTTAATCACCATGTAAAGCTTGTCCGATCAGAACCATATGCATGCACATCAAGGATGCATGTAGGTTAATCTTCAAATGAAATTAAAATTATAGAGTTAACACCGCATTAAAGTCGTAACATACTTGCTCACTTGCTTCAACTACATCATGAGGTGGCAATTCTTCGGTTCCAATCTCAAGAACGAAGGCACTGGGAACTTGCAATACCTGCTGAAAGTTCGGGAGAACAAATTGTTGAGAGAAAAGAATTATGGAGGGAAGACTACAGCAGACATGAATTAAACAGTATAGGTTCAGCATAGACCAACAGCGTTTACTCAAATGTCATGACACTTTCAATATTCCAACATGCTCGTCAAAACAGACATTATTAACAATTTAACATGTAAAAATGCTTTAAGGAAAAGAAAAAAAAAAGAAAAAAACTCCAATCAGCTAAAATGATAATAAACTCCAAAAATCAAAATACAAAGTAACTCTCTTTCTTTAACCTAATAGAATTGGCATCTAAGAAAAATTATCACTTGTTGCTAATAGAACTTGTCCATAACTGAGTTTAACTTCAAGACAGATTTAAATGCCTCACCACACAAAAGATCAGATAGAATCAATCAATCAATCCAAGAAAAGGGTATCCAAGCTGGCAAGTCTCAATCCTACTTTATGCAAAAAGAGTTTTACAGCTGTACCTCTCAAAACATCAATAACAAAACTGATAGAAACCTTTTACTTAAAAATAAATAACAAGGTGAAGATATTTAGACCAGAAACAGTAGATTTTTGGGAACTTCACACGGAAAAAAGAAAGGAAACAACCTTCTGCATGCACACTAGTACTGAGGTGCACAAAAAAAATTAAATGCAACCACAGCTTGATACATGAATGTAAGTCAAGTAAAGTCATCAATTAGAAAAGTCTTAAAACAAAGTAAGACGGTTCCAAAACTTCTCTGTAAATGCATGGGTAAAGTTATATACAACAATGCCCCCCAAAACCTTGCATTAGCAGAAGTTTCTCGGGGTAGGCACATGCCAATCTGACACCATGATCATGGGTCTAACACACAAGCTGCAAGATCACTACAATAACAACAAAAATATCAAGCCTTTATCCCACAACGTGGGGGCAGCTACATGAATCTTTCATCTTCATTGGGTCATATTAAGAGCCAAACTCTCATTTAAATCTAATAAAAAAGGTCATTTATAATACTTTCTAAACAAGACTTTTTATGCTTGTTGACCACTATTTAGCCGATGTACTCCACCTCATGCCATCCAAACGACACAACATTTCATTCACTCACGTAACTCAACAACACGACTTCGACAAAACCACTAAAACATCTCTCCCTTTCATTTCGTTCGACCTCACGCACGCAGGAACCGTCCGCTCACCTCTCTCGCTCGTCTTCCTCATTTATTGTTCGGTCTGGAAAAATATACAAAAGGCACAAACCTCGCTCTCACAAGCTGAAGATTTCCTTATTTTCCCTGAGGCATATTGGATTTAACATTTAACCAAATTTCTCCTGAGAGTAATATCAAGGTTTATTTAAACATGGGTTCTACTTCCCCTGAGAGCATTCATGACTAAAACAAAAATATATGGGATTAAGGTTGATCCTTGAAGTAATCCAACTGAAATAGGAAAATACTTGGTCAAACCACCTTGTGTATGGACACAAGTAACAGCTCCTGCATACATATCCTTAATGACGTGAAGCCAAGTACTTTTCTATAATGAAATAAAAGTTCTGGCAGATTTTGAATAAGGGTAGTGCAAGTGGCTTGCCGCCAATGCAGAATCGGGGGATAAGCAACCCTATCCATGCATTGCAAGAGGTTTTTTTTCTTTTTGTCATATTGCATATTTTGAGTTTTAAATATGATGCAAAGAAAATATGATGTTTATTTCCATAGAGTAAATACAAATCAGTTTCATATTAAAGCAGAATTTACAAGAGAAAGGTTAGGTAATCAAAACCTTTACTTGCTCGGTAACAAGAATTTTAGGGAATATAGCACTGTTTCCATCAGAAGAAATGCCTAGGGGATAACCAAGCATCTCTCTTGACTTCACCCATAGTTGAGCGCATTCTCGAGCTAAACTGGTCCACAACAGATAATTTATATGAATTTTACAGAATATATCAATTACTTATTAACTTGAAAAGGTAACTACATAAAAAAAATTGAAAGAAATGCTGCATTTATAAATATTCCAGGGATTGAATCCCGTTTTTATAACCCCTTAGGCCACCGACCAATCACAACTCAAACAGCTCATTCAACCAGCCCCAGTAACAAATGTAACCACGTCATTTTAGTTGTTAATGTAAAGACCTTTTTTAAGGGCAAGAATTGGGAACCTGCATTAACATGTTATGGGAAAATATTTCAGGTATGTGCTCTGGTAACATGAGAGATCTGCATGAATGTTCAGCGAAGTTTAACAACATAAGTTTGCAAACACGTAGGTAGGGAGTGAATAAAATAGCAAGCAGGTAGCCTGATATTACAGAGACAAGTATGTTTTTGCATATTTAGATGAAGATGAAAGTTAACAAGAACTGAACTTTCAAAAAGGTATAACGTGCATGTCTAAAAGATTTACAGATGTCAGTCTGTGCATGCTCGCATGGCCAAGCCAACCTTCGTTTGGGTAGCTTACATTAATGCCATCAGGCAGTTCACAGGTCTTCTTGGAGACGCGTAACCATTCATTCAGGCTGAGCTTAGTTAGTTTTCTCAAAATGTGTCCAACCCATTTTCTAAAATATCAGCTAATAATTTCCTACACAATTTTGTGGCTTGGGTGGGTAGGGTGAGGGGGTGAGGGTGAGGTTCCACTCTAGTTTCTTACAAGTTACCTCAATCAACACTTTGGAGGTTTTAACACCAATTGTTCGAATAACATAATTACTGTAAAATGAAATAGACTTAGGCAGTAACTTAACTATATTTATTTTTGGGTAAATATGGAATGAGTAATAAAAATATGATGAACAAATCTACATCTGATTTCATCATATCACATAAGAGAATGGCACTTGTTTAAACCAAAACTGGATATACAAAATGACATATATATACTCGACATAATTTTTTTTGGAAAAAATTGTTTGTTGATTGTTGATTTCATAAGAAAATTTGACCACTGATGATGTCAACTAAAAAGCTCTACAGAACCAACATAGCAATAGTCAGTGGCGGAGCCAGAAATTTTATTCAGGGGGGGCCTAAATTAAACACTACAGAAAAATCACCCATTACAGGCAGAATTTTCCGGCGATTTTCTGACAGTTTATTTTCCGTCGGTCAATTTTATGACGGTTTGTCATCTCATCTTGAATGTCAAAATACATTAAAATAGTTCCGTATTCCGTCTTATTAATTTCTGGAGCTAAAAAGAATTGTATGATCAAAATTAAGAATGCAAATAATATGGCGAGAGAGGAGCGAAAAAGAAAAGGAAAGTTGTGCTCGAGATTGTGAGTTGCGAGAGATGAGCATAGGGGAAAACGAAGCAATCAGTTTGTGTCGAGCGAAAGCAAGTCATTTGGAAGCAGTCTCTGTTTGGGCTTGTGATATGATACTGTTGCTAGCTGAGTGAAAATTTCCCCCCCCCCCCCCCCCCCCCCCCCCCCCCCCCGGCAACAGCTATGATTTCTAGAAGGATAAAATGGGTTCGGAAATTCAAAAAATCACCGAGTTAATATTTTTGGAAAGGCCGCGGTCAAGAAAGGTCCGACTCATAACAGTATCGCTACTGCATGGTAGCAAAAGCCTCCAGCAAGAATGAACTAATAGTGTATTACAGCCTGCAGCTGCCTCAGCCTATGCCTATACTTGCTGCAGGTGATCTTCACGTTGGTTCCCACACCCAAAAACAACTCTCATTAACTTCCGAAATGGAGTTTAGTCTCCCATTGCCAAGTGCAAGAAGAGCACCCATGCTCTCCTCCATAAAATCCAAGCATCCAAAGTGTGAAGAAGGTATAAAAAAAAGAATAGCGAGCTGAAACAATGGCTAAACATTGTTGGGATCTCTTCTAACCACTACAACCTCCTCTTTCCCTAAGTTATAAGATTCAAAGGAACCCATGAAACCATCCATTATTTCACCCAAAATTGTCTGTGGAAAACACCTCATCTTACCAGCAGGATAACTATGAGAATATAACCTGGAATAAAGATAATTGTATTATAGAAAAAAATACAAAATTATAACATACAATAATTATCATCCTGCATTCTAGCTCAATAGAAGAAAAATTTTCAAACTATTCCGGCCAACTTTTGCAGACAATCAAAGGACTTATGCAGAAAAGAATCGATTCAGTAGAAATAATAGTAAAATATTCCACGGTACCCCCTCACCAAAAAAAAAAATGATTTAGATCATCCATTATTGCATAAGCACTATCAATGAGATCCTTGTTTGTCATCCTTTTTTTGTTTTACAAGCGAGTTACATGGTTGCACCTTTTCCTTTAGATATACATCATAAGGTACTAACAACCTATTGATGTAAAGCTAGCACCCTTTATAGGATGTCATCGAAGCTTTACATCCTCGAACTATTAGGCACCACAAGAACATTGAATGTGGAATAAATATGCACCAAATCCAACCAAGGATGCAAAAAAAAAAAAAGTTATGTATAAATTTAAAATGGTACAAAGCATTAGTTTATTGAGGCATCACTCGACGAGAATGAACTAAGAATGAGGATTCATAAAAGTAATCCACATAGGTAGGATAATATTAATGATGATGGTACAAAGCATTAGTTCAATGAAACTAATTGAAGAATAGAGGCTAACCTGCGCATGCGAGAAAAATATCTAGCACGTTCAGTAACACCAATAAAGCCTCTAGAATCTAGGATATTGAAATTGTGAGAGGCCTTCAACAACTGATCATACCTACAAAATTATTAGAAAAGGAATCATATTTAGCAGAAGTTTTCCTTCTAAATCATAAATAGAGTGGAAAAAAAAACTACAGTGTTTTTCTAAGCATACGCGGGAATAGCTAGCCCAAGTGCCAATAATGATCGAGCATCTTCCTCAAAGTTTTCAAACTGCTTGAGTACATGTTCCACACTCGCATGCTCCAAGTAATATGCACTCATTTCCTTCCTGCATCAACAAAAAATATGAGACCTACCATTTCATTCATAGTGATCTGTTAACCTCATAAAACATATCGTTGAAGAATATTGATTAAAGAATTTTCATCTTAATGGCGGAGGAAAAGAGAGGGGGAAAAAAACTAAACAGGAAGCATTTCAGCATGATAAACTAAAGCCTTCTGAATTCATGTGGCAACCTAACAATGAGAAACAACAAATTCTAGTTTCGAATTCAAAACCCTGCAATTCCACCTAATTTCCTCTCACTCATTCCTCCCTCTCCTCTGATATGGTGACATCAACACCCTTGATATGAATAATGACTTCAGATACATTTCCCCTGATATGAGTTTGCTTTGGCCTGCTACTTTGGAGTGATCTACAAACTATTTGGTTAATTGTCAGGACAACTTTTGATTTAGAGGAAATGGTAATGGGGTTTTCAGCCCAACAAAGAGAATTATGCAATTTCCTCTATAGATCAAATTTTCTAGTCTCTCGCTTAGCTGTTGGAACCTAAGTAGTAATTCCAAAATTAATAACTTTATGGGTAAATTTATTATGATAGACGATATAACTGCTTCTTAAGTCAGGGTCACCTTTGTTAGAGTTAATGCGGAAGTTAGTACTTCCTCATCCCTACCTTATTCCTGCATTCTTAGCATGGATGGAGTACTTGCTGGGCTCAAGAGGTGGTTAATGATAGAAATCCTCTTTTTGCATATATTGTGACTCATTCTTGCATGCTTCTTTTTCATGCCCCAAATTGACTACTATTTTTTGTAAGGAAGGTACTTACAAACTCCTGAGAGGAAAGAACTGTCATACCCAAGAGTTTCAAGCAAAAGTACAAATTTTAGTTGCTATCAAAAAAAAAAGTAATTTCTACAGAAGGCATTCAATTTATCACATGAATTAGTAGTTAATTAAATTTTATGTTAACAATTTCAGTTGACTTATGTAAGTGCAGTTAATGTTAAATGTTAAATTAATTTCTGTTAAGTAATACACAAACACCATTAAGACAACCTGATTTTCTCGTTCTCAGGACTTAATAATTACAACCTTAAGTGGTCCACTAGTCCTGCACTAGGGTTAGTCAAGTAAGTTGCTGTAGCACAGCACTAGGTAAATCCACTACTAATAAAATATCTCTTCAGCCATCCACTATCTTAATGGATGCAACCGTTGATGGGGAATCCAATTGCTATGAAATGTTTAAGTGCAAATATTAAAGCTATAGCGGGTAAGCCTTTTCTCTCTGTAAATCTTCTTTTAGCTGGAAGCTGTGGTGAGGTTTCGGCGGGTAAGCCTTTATTTCTTTAAAAGGCAATGGGCTAGATTTCAGATGCTGTTAGAGGAAAAATTATGAGGGAATAATTGGAGTGATTGCTTGCCGTGAGAGTGGGAGGCTATATTTGGCGGAATAAATTGCAAAGGAGTTAACAGTAAAGAGAGGATTAGAGGAGTATGAGGAAGGTTATAAAGCAATAAAGGTAAATTATTATTATTTTTTATTACGTTATGTTGTATGTTGTCTTGTAAATTCTTTGGATATTGATAAGGTTGCTAAAGGAGTTTATACCATAATTGTGTTGTTAGGATTCTTTTTATTTGGTGGATGAAGAAAGGAGAATCTGGTTGAGAGGTAAGTTGCTAAAAGGTATGAATGATTTTAATAAAAATCTGGGAAACTAAATTATAGAAATTTTGGAAAGTAAGAAATGTGAATCGTGTAGTTAATTTACAAACGAAAAAGGTTACGATGTGCTGAATTTGTGGAGGCAACTTGGTAAGGGGGTAAGAAATGCAATTTAATTTAATCAAATAAATGTATCATTTTTTGACTTGTATAGTTGCATGTCATCAAAACAGATGGGTAAAAAGACAGCAAAGTAACTTTTATATGTTAATGCGTTTACAGTCAAGCAGTCAAGTATGAATGACCTCATATAAATTTTTTAAACTTATCATGCAGTATTATATGATTAGTTAAATGTTTTCCTAATTAACAATGTTTTGAAAAGAAAATCATCTTTTTAAGGGACCTCGAATGAGGCAAAAGGGACCTCTATGAAATTCAATGTTGATAATGTAAAATGATGTGAAACGTACAGGTGAAAATGAGTTGCTTATGAAAATTTGTACGCTTAATATTTTGAGAACAATATTAAATAAAACTTATGCCGATTTAAACGCTTAAGATAAAACAATAAGGCGATAAAACAAGCTTAAGCTAAATTACATGCATAGGAGTTAAGATCGTAAAATAGCCAATTTAATCTAACATTGCATACATGAATGATTTTCAACTATAAATCTCAATGCTAACAGTAAGATTAGGTACGATGCAAGAATACCTCACTCAACTCTCTAGTTCTCTAAGCTTTAGCGGTGAAGAGCTTGACATGAGCTTTGTGAATCAAAGTATAACCATAATTGAAAGATGAATTAGGAAGATATAAGCGTAAGAAGAAAAGTTTACCAAGGGAAGACAAATACGAAGCTCCAAAGTGGTCGTTTGAGTGTTTGGGAAGGGATGGATGGCAACACGAATTTTCTGGCTGTTTGGGACAGCACTTTGGCAACCCCTGGGTAGTAAAGAGCACTCGGGGCTTCACCAATCAGCTGGACAAAAGAAAAAGGGTTGCAGAAATCTCTGGGACAGTACTTGGAGGAGTGCTGGTTAGCAAACAGGAGCAGACCTGGCAGCACTATGGCTGGTTGGAGTTTCCCGGACAGCAGTTTCTAAGTGGAAAATTGTTGGACAGTAATTTAGAGCAGGTTTTAAGAGCAGGTTTTGAATTTTGAATCCCCAAATAACGTAGAAAGGCGGGAAAGTCATTCCTTAATGAGAGGTTGATTGAAGCAATTTGTGGGAGGTGATTTAATGAGGCGAGAGAGAGAGGGGGGAGGAAAGATTGTGTACACATTCAACGAATGTGGACCAAGGCATTGTAAGTGTGAATTAAATCTGAGATTTATTTCAGATTTAAAGTGATTTGGCAGGATTTAATTTGAATTTCGAATTCAAATTCAAGTATGATGAAGCCTTAATAGGAAGCAATAAGATTTAGCCCATTAATGGGTGGTCGGCAGCATCATGAGGGGAGGAGTATGGGGAAGATTTTAATAAGTTTCCAAACGAGGTTTGCCACATAGGAAAGAGAATAAACAACCCTCTTTAATTTAAAATTAAATCGGATTGAAATTTTAAAACTTTCCTTATTTGCAAAGTTCCAAATAAGGAAAATATTTGAAATTTGAAGCAAGGGTCATTACTTCCCTTTTCCATGGAGCTAATTTAGGAAGGGAAGTATAACAATTGAAATCGTCATAATTGAGTTGGATCCAATGGGGAGGCCAATGACAATGGGGGCTTGGGGGGGATTACGTCGGGTGTGAGGAGGGGAGAGTTGATCCGCCGGTTGGAGAGGGGAATTTGGTGCTTCTAAAAGGTAGGATTGGAGTCGGGGTGCATGCAGTGGTGGAGCTCGGAAGGAGGGTGGTTGTTGGACGGCAGGCAAGGAGAGGAAGGTGGGTAGGGAAGGTGGAAACTAAAATAAAGAACTAAGAACTCACAAAGAGATCGTAAAACTGTGAACCTTGGACTCCTCCAAAGGTTGACGGGTATTGCTTTCAACCACCTAGGGTCTCTCCTCCCATGAACTCACTTAGAGATAAAGCAAAGAAAACAAAACTTCATTCAATATTCATCATCCTACAATACAAAAGAGTTAGCCTATAAATAGGCCTCATGAAAAGAAAAATAGCAAAGACTAAAACGCCCTTCAGGCTACAACACCACATGACCACTCCTAAGGGTAAAATGGGAAAAACAATAATATAAAATAAACTAGTACATAAGACATAAAAAATTTAAATAAGCTCTAGATCGTAGCCGTTGGTCTTCTGATGTCCTCATCATCAAGTTTATCTGGGCTTCATTGAACATTCTTATGAATGTTAACTTTATGAGAAATGATGGTCAGAACTCTTAAAAAACTAATTATGATATTTTGTATAGGCCTCATATAATACAAAAGATAATGCTAAATATGAATTTTTTTATTTTTGCAAACTATTTTAGATTTGATTCGGTTAAGATTTCAATTACGTTAATTCTATAAATATTGCAATTTATTTCTTATTTAAATTGCATAATTTTATGAGCTTTATGAGCTTCATAGCTCACCAGATTTTTATTCTGATTGTTGTTACAATAAAGGGCAAAGATAAAGAGGAAGTTGAATAGCCTCAAGCCACTTTAAAACTTTATGCTTTGCTGTGCGTCTGGTATATGAGTCTACAACAGAGGTATCTAGACTGTTTGTTACTGCAATATTTTGGAGTTTGTAGGGCTCTGTAATTATCCATGGATGAATAAAATGAGATATTTTGGAATACTTCCGTATATTAGGAATATATTAGATGAAGATTGACTATAGATTTATGATGATGAGTTTTAATTTCATGATTGTTGTTTCTAGGTTGCACCCTATGTTGCCAGGGGGGTGATTTGGGGTGTGAAAAGAACCTAGACCAAATTAAGGAAAACAAACTCCATTATAATCTCCATTCAAACTAAGCTTTCGGAAGCAAAAATTTTAAAATCTCATCGAGTACAACTACTTCACTTTTGATAAGGAAGGTTCCACCAATAATTTTCAATCTCATCATAAAGAAAGAATATTTTTAAAATGGAACAAAAATTCCCCACACTCCCCATTCCTTCAACTAACGGGAAGAAAATCCATTCTAACATTCAATGTTCCTAATAACTCATCTTTACTAAGGTTAATGCCTACTATGAATTCTACCTGAAGCATGATTTATAAGAGTTTTTACGGAATGATACTACCAGTAACATTGATAATCTCCCATGGCTTTTCATTGGAGCCTTTAATTACATTTATTATTCTGACAAGAAATGTAATAGCAGACTGAACCCTTTCGAATTATGGAGGTCTTTAATGCTACAGTTCTTTAAAGTGGCATCAATGATTTTTAGTAATATAGCTCTCACATTATTTAATCTAATAAAAACCCTTTAAAACAATTATTTTATAAAATTGGATAGATGTCTCGCAAACAATTATTGGGATAGCTCTTTTGGTAACAATATTCCAGCGTAGAAGGTAGACTCTCATCCATAGAGAACCGCATTAAAAACTTTGAAGACCTTAAGAAGAAGTTTATCGAAATGCAATCAAAAGCCTCACTGATGATTCCTAGGGCTGAACCAAAGGGAAAGAAAATTCAAGAGAACGATGATGAAGTGGAGAGTGTTTTCCCTCATGGACCACCACGGGGGGCTCCAATGGGAGATGGATCAGGGTATTTTGAAGAAAGGGCTGCAAGAAGGGGGGAGGCAGAACCCTTTGAGAGACCACCCATACATGGTGGAAGGTGAACCTAAGGAGGAAATGATTGGGCTAAGCCATGGGGCCAAATCAGCCAAAGAAGGAAGAGAGTCACACCATCATTACATGGGAAGAACTAACGAATGGAGAAGCCATTAAACTATAGATATGAGATCAAGGAAGTTAAAGATACTGATTTTTTTAAGGGGAATATGTTCAATGTTGGGTGTATCAGGAGGAGCGTTGCTTTGATATCAACAGGTTGATGGAAGGGGGAAAACTCATGACGGCAGGGCTATGTATAAAGGAAAAAAGCCCTAGCTTGGTTTCAATAGAAGGAGACCAAGTATTCAGTCTATTTATAGGAAAAATTTAAGGAGTGTTTGTTGGAACATTTTTTAGCCATTCGGAAAGGAGAGGAGGCCTTCACGAACAAAGGGCAGTCATAGAGTATCGGGAGAAATTTCAGCTACTATCAGGATGACTGAGGGGAATATTCAAGGAAGGGTTGGAAGATAATTTCATGAAGGGGCTTAGAGAAGATATATGAGCAGAGCTCAGGGTGTTGAGACCTAGAGGGCTAAAGGAGATGATGAAGCTTGCTCAGAGAGTGGAGGAAAAATATTAAAGGGAGAAGACTAGCCGGAGCAACACAATGGGAGGGGATTACATGAATACCTCTATGACCCTGGCACCGAGGTCCCAGACGGTGTTGTTCCAAAGGAAAGCGCCAAAAGAGAAGAGCATTGGAATTCATCCTGGAGGCAAATTCAAGCACCTTACAAAAGCGGAGGTGTAAGATAAGCGAGCAAAAGAGTTATGATTCAGGGGTGATGAGAGATTTCCACCCGGACATAGATGCAAGAATCGAGCCCTTCAGGTCTTGATGGTCTACGATGGAGAGAAGGAAAGTGGGGACGAGCTGGAGAAGATTATAGAGAAAACGGCACATTTACATCTGGACATGGCATACATGTCCCTACACTCCATGGTGGGATTCACTCCAAATCACACCATGAAGGTACGGGGACAAATCGAGATACAACCAGTGGTGCTGTTTTTTTTTTCTATGTATTGAAATATTATTCATACACGCACTGCAAGTACTTCACACAGCTTACTTCATCCTAGCAGATAGCAAAAGCAATTGATCCAAAGAGTAACATAAGTCAAATAGTTTTTTAAATAATCTAGTCTTTGTCTATATTATTCTTCACACATACAAATAGAGTTCTGTCAAAAACAAGTCTAGCCAAACAAGCCAATTCACTAACAAATGCCCTCCATGACAACAGAAATATTCAATAAAGCAGGGATCAGCTAGCCAACTCCTTTAAGAAAATTTATTTACCTACACAATTGCATCTGGATACACCCTCAAATGAAGTTATTACCCTAAAAAAATACAAGTATAAGAAATTCATTAAAAAAAAAGGTGGCATCAATTGTAGGATTGAAGTAAACTCAATTGCATTTCTATGTAAATAAGCAAACTCCTCTCCATTACAGCATATACTTTCTCTGACACCATTAAGCCAACCTTTGGAAATCACTATCCTGGTTTACTTCCAAACAAACTAGCCATGCAGTTCAACATGTTTTAATAGGATACTTAGAACAAACATTAAAAAAAGAATTGTTGTACAAATTAAAATAGTTATTACTTGCACAAATTAAGCAAACTTTCAGTACATCTCAACAATTAATGAACAAAAAACTTTAGTTCCAAAAGAACGATTCAAGAATTCCTGATAGCATTTTGTTACTTTCATCCCCAACATTCATAGAAAAAAGATTAATCATAATAATAGCATCGAAAAACAAAATGTTTGATGATAGACCTAAACTGGTTAGATTAACATGGAAGTGCTTAATCAATAAAACATACGGAATGAATAATTAGGAGTTAAACTCACTACAAGCTCTTAATAACCTACTCATTTTCCAAAAAGATCTCGCCGTATGTAATTCCATCAGTATATTTTATGTTCTTGAAATGGTCTACCTCCTGCAAAGCAAGCCTGAATCATATTTCAGTCTTTCTCAGCTGAGTGATATAAAAGTCACATTGAGATAATCGAAAGCTATAGCATACCTGCAGCAACATTAAGATACGTTCCAAGCCATAAGTTATTTCAACAGAAACAGGCTGCAATTGGAGGCTTCCAGCCTGAAATAATTTAAATTTGCAAGGTATACCACACAATTACAAAAATCCCAGGCTTAAACAAACAAAATACTTATCAAACCCAGCTCATGAAGCATTATGAAATTAATTTAAACAGTCTAAAATCATAATTTACATAAGAATCGTGAAAATATTTCTATTTTCTTTTATTTGAAATTAAAAAAAAAAAGTTAAATAAAGAGTATTTGAATCACAACCCAGACATCTGTTTCAGTAATAAACTAACATGTAAGATATCCAATATGAGGGAAAAATAAAAGTCTTAGCAGTTCAGAAAAAAAAAAACTATCAAGTAAAATAGTTACAGAATTACCTGCTGAAAGTATGTGAATTGTGATATCTCCATCCCATCCATCCATATTTCCCAACCTAAACCCCACGCACCAAGAACCTGTCAAATTTTGAATGGAGAAACGGAAATAATCAACATAAATAGAGAAAGCCATGAAGGAATTACAATGCTTTACATGATGAAAACTAATAGATAATTCTATGTTCAAAAAAGGATCTACCGGACTTTCCCAATTGTCTTCAACAAAGCGAATATCATGTGCTTTCACATTGATTCCTGAAGTGGAAAAAAGTTTCCGTAGTTATAACATCAAACTCGTTATAATTTAAGGAAATAATGTTGGACAATATAGAAAACAATTTAAACCACTATAGTCTCAGCTCAAATCTACTTGGTTTCAATGAACTTTGTAACCAGCCTGCAATATTCATTCAATATAAAGCCATCATCTGAGATTCTCTGCTCCAGGGCTCTCCAAGAATTGGGCAGACCAATCAATGCAAATCTAACCTAGGTAGGCTCAAAATTGATTTGATCACTTTGGGCTAACTCGCACATTTGATCAGTAACATTGGGATAAGCCAACTACAAAGGTCAGCTATTTTGGACTCAACCCAAACACATTGGTGAAGTTATACAAAGGTTATATTTAAGAAAACACAAGAAACAATTCTCAAGAGGCTGGACATAACCTCTCTCATCCAAGGCTGACGTGGTCAGCTCTCCCTCATGCAACGAAAGGATATGGTCAATCTTAACCATATGGTCAATCTATTCCTGTTCAAGTTCATTTAACCTTTCTAAATTCAAATAATCTCTATTTATGTCTTATATTATTATTTTCATTAGGTTTCATTACTCTGCTGAGTCTTGGGCTTATCTTGATCACAATTTAAGCAACTAGATTGGGTTCAATAAATCTTCTTGTAGACTAATAAAACATGTACAAACTCATTTGAGTTAATCGAATTGATTTATTATGTCATCTGTGTTTGATTGATGATATAGATAGACAAATTTTATGTATTTCTATTTAAATTTATTAGGAACCAACAATTTATTTATGAACAATATCATGTAATAAACTTTAGGGATATGTAGGATTTTCAGTTTTCTATAAATAGCGCAATATTCTTTATAAAAAGATGAAATGAAAATTTTAAAATTTACACAGCTCATATTTTGGTTTCCTAGTTTTCTTTCATTGATAATTTGGCAACATGATGTTTTAAGAATTCATCGTCAACTTGAGGATTCACTATTTTGATATCATTTTCATTTGTTTCTTTTAATCTCCCCACAGATTCTATAATCTTGTTGCTAAACCTGATCATTTTGGCCTCAAAGCAAAAACTTTGTTATTTTGGCAGTTGATTTCAGCAATTTATAGTGGTTTTGTGCTTGCTTCATCAAATTTCTACCGATTTGCACCTTTTAGTTCAAGTCCATGCATTTTCTTGCCTTACCGAGGCCCTTTTCTCCAGATTAGCTTTCTTTCACCACCCTAACGCAAAGTTTAAAAGCAGCGTTTTTGGTACTCCAACCACCCCCTTTCTATTTTCAAACATGTTCTTGAAGAAATTGTTTAGGGGAAATTGAATTCGAATTTTTATCCTTGGAATTATTACATATATATACACTCTAGGAGACGACAACAACAACAACAACATCAAGCCTTTATCCCACTACGTGGGGTCGGCTACATGAATTCTTTTTCTCCGTTTTGTCCTATTAAAAGTCAAATTTTTGTTTAAATCTAATAAAGAAAGGTCATTTCTAATATTTTCTAACCAAGTCTTTTTAGGTCTACCCCTACCTTTCTTAACATAAGTCAAATCTCTACTCTCCTAACCGGGTCATCGGAAGGCCGCCGTTTTATGTGACCAAACCATCTAAGGCGACTCTCTCTAATCTTATCTTCTACTGGAGCTACTCCAACCTTTTCACGTATATGCTCATTTCGTATCCGATCTCTAAGGGTAAAGCCACTCATCCACCTGAGCATCCTCATCTCTGCCACACTTAACTTAGTATTATGCTTCTCTTTTAATGGCCAACATTCAGCACCATAAAGCATTGCAGGCCTCACTACCATCTTATAGAATTTTCCCTTAAGTTTGAGAGGTACATTTCTATCACATAACAAGCCCGATGCATTCCTCCACTTCAACCATCCAACTTGAATTCTGCTGATAATATCCCTATCTATTTCACCATCACTCTAAACAATAGATCCAAGATATCTAAAACATGTACTCTTATTAATGACTTGATCGCCCAAAGTCACAATCCCCTCACTATGTCTATTACTACTAAAATTACACTCCATATATTCCGTTTTAGATCTACTCAAGCGAAAACCTTTAGATAAGGTTGACCTCCATAATTCAAGTTTACCTTCAACTCCCTCTCTAGTCTTATCAACAAGAAGAATATCATCAGCAAAAAGCATGCACCAAGGTACATCCTCTTGCAAATGTCTAGTGAGAACATCCATGACTAAAGCAAAAAGATATGGGCTTAAGGCTGATCCTTGATGTAACCCAACCGAAATAGGGAAATACTTAGTCAATCCACCTTGTGTTTGAACACAAGTAATAGCTCCTGCATACATATCTTTAATGATTTGAATATAAGCATTATTGACTCCTTTCTTTTCAAGAATTCTCCATAGCACTTCTCTTAGAACTTTATCATATGGTTTTTCTAAATCAATAAATATCATATGTAGATCCTCCTTATTTTCTCTATATTTCTCCATCAAACTTCTTAATAAATGTATGGCTTCCATAGTCGACCTACCCGGCATGAATCCAAATTGATTTTGAGAAACATTAGCATCACGCCGCAACCTATGCTCCATAACTCGCTCCCATAGTTTTAAAGTATGACACATTAACTTAATACCTCTATAATTCGCACAATCTTGTGCATCACCTTTACTCTTAAAAATAGGAATTAACACACTCATTCTTCACTCATCTGGCATCTTTTTAGTCTTCAAAATAGTATTAAAAAGTTTAGTAAGCCATGAAATTCCTTCATCTCCTAAGATATTTAATCTAATTAATTATAATAAACAGAAGATGAAAGTCATTTAATCTAATTGATTCAAATAATTATATCCCACAGATCTTGGTCTCAAAAGAGGATATCTCCAATTGTAGCCCATGGTTGCAGCCCACAGATTATTGACATGTCAAAGTCGTGGCCCCCTCCTTGCCGTGTGATTCAACACTCTCCCTCAAGTTGGGTTGTACAGGTTGTAAAATCTCAATTTGCAAACAAATTTATCAAGTAGAGAACTCGGTAGCGCCTTTGCTAGAACATCGACAAGTTCTTAGTTAGGGTATATACTACTTAAATTTCTGAGTTTTCTATTTTCTCAGCTATAAAGCATCTATCAAAAATAATATGTTATGTTATATTGCGATTTATTGGATCCTTGTCCATACTGATTGCGGCTTGATTGTCACATTTCAACTTTATCATGTCTTCAATCTTTATTCTCAGTTCAATTAATACTTATCTGATCCAAATACCTTCACAAATAATAATTGTTAATGCTCTCACTTTAGATTATGCACTGCTTCTAGAAGTAACAGATTGTTTCTTGCTCCATGTCACTCGGTTCCCCCACACAAATGAACAATATCCTGTGGTCGATCGACTGACAACCTGACTTCATAACCTTATCTGTATCAGAATAAATGATCAATTTTCTATCTTCATTTTTATTAAGAAATAGCCCCTTTCCAAAAGTATTCTTGAGATATTTCAAGATTTGATATACTGCCTTCATGTGCTCCTTCATAAGATTACCCATATATTGGCTCACCATGCTCACAGTAAACCCAATATATGGATGGGTGTGGGAGAGGTATATAAGCTTTCCTACCATACGTTGATATCTTCATTTATCTACTGAAACTCCCTCTGTTTCTATCCCAAGTTTCTTCTTAGAGTCCATAGGTGTACTAGCTGGTCTGCATCCAAGCATGTCGGTCTCATTCAGTAGTTCTAAGGTATACCTACATTAGGAAACAAATATAGCTATGCTTAATCGAGCTAACTCAATACAAAGGAAGGATATAAGTGATTCTAGATATTTAACTTCAAACTCCCTGGATAGAGCCTATTTAATCTTCATTATTTCCTATATATCATTTCTAGTAAGGATGATGCCATCCACATATATAACCAATATTGCTACCTTGTTTCTTTCTGACTGCTACACAAACAAGGTATGACCTGCCTGACATTGTCTAAAAATATGGCATTTTAAATACTTTGAGAATCTTCCAAACCATGCTTTAGGAGATTGCTTTAATCCATACAAAGATTTTAGCAGTTTACACACTTTGTTCATTCAATAAGACTTATGAATCACCATTGGAATCTCAATGTAGACTTCTTCTTTCAGGTTTCAATTCAAGAATGGATTCTTGATATTTAGTTGATGTAGGGACCAATCTAAATTTGTTGCTAAGGAGGTGTTGAGCTTTGCAACAGGAGCAAAAGTTTTCTTATAGTCTATTCAATAAGACTAAGTGAATCCTCTTGCAACCAGTCTAGCTTTCAGCCTCTCAACACTGCCATCCTCCATATGTTTTACAATGAACACCCATTTGCATATCACAACTTTAATCCCTAGTGGGATATTCGTAATTACCCATATTTGATTTTTCTTCAAGGCCATAATTTCTTCTTTAACAACCGTATCCATCCTAAGTGATTCAAAGCTTCCTAAATATTGGTCGAAATCTGCACATCATCCAACTTGGAAAGGAAGACTTGATAAGTGTTTTATAATCTGCTATAGGAGGAAAGTTTTGATTGGATGCTTGGTGCATGATGCTTTCTGGCCATTTGATGACTCTACCTCCTTTTGAACTTCCTCGTTTTCTCCTCTGCACGAATTTCTACAGTTGTTGGATCCATTAAAGGAGATTTGATAGGTTCAAGATGTGTCTCACTGCTCTGCATGCTGGTTTTCTTTCTTTTTCTTGGATATACATATTTTTGTTCCTTAATTGCTACTCTTTGCAATGATTGATTAGGAATTATTGGTGGAGGTAATAAGACTGAAGGTTGAGGTCGAGATGTAGGAGATATACCTTAGGAAATACTTGTTTAAATTTTTTGTGTTATTTGTTGATTTTGACTGGACTCTGTTTGGTTGTAAAATAAGAAATTTCACTCCCAAGTTTGAAATTCTCTTTCACTCTCCACTAGAATTTCAGAACTAGTAAAGTATCGATTATTTTCAAAAAAGATGATATCCATGGTTTCAAATACCTTTGCATGGTTTCAAATATCTTCCTAGAAGTAGGGCAAAAGTATTTGTAACCTCTTTTTGTAGAAGAATAGCCAATATAGATGCATTTTTTTTTTATCTTGGGTCAAGCTTGCTCCTATCTTGTGAATAGATATGAACAAAGGCATAGTACCAAAAAAATGTTTTGAGGAAGATTTGATGATATGAACCGAGCATGGAGATAGGCTTTGAGTAGAGTTTGTCTAGGAGTTAAATTTTAGTACCCGATTAGGTAACCTATTATTAGGTATGTAGTAGTAAGAATGGCTTTCTCCCATATAGATATTTTTGTACTTTATTTATAGCGTAATAGATCTAGCACCTTTCAGGAGATGTCTATTTTTCCTCTCAGCAACCCCATTTTGTTGAGGTATATATACTCTAATACCCAAACAATATAGGTAAGGGAAAATAGAAATTTCAATTTTAATATATATCTAATCATATCAATTATTTTAAATATAATAAATTACTCAAATAACTGTATAAGCAATTAACTAATGGGTTCTTATAGGAATTGATTGGCAATCAGTTGAGTGGTGGGACCCACTTCCTTTTTGGTGTTCAGAAGTAGCAAACCAGTGGAATTGTTATGCAAACAGCAGTTTCACGGAAGGCAACAGAGGGAATTGGGTGGAGAACTGTAGATCAATTCGATTCTATGGTAGAAGGCCGCATAGTGATCTGTTCATAAGAATTATGGCATTGAGCAGCATAGTAGAAATTCCTATAGACGGTTCGGCACAGTAGAATTTCTCCAGCAGGCGGCACAGTACAGTGCATTCAGGACTGTAGCAGTGTTCGACAGTGAGAATTCGGCACAGTACACTTAAGGGAGTTTGGCTGTGCAGGTATTAACAGTATAGTTGAATGGAAATTATTTGAAAATTGTCATCAATATTTGGATGTGATTAATTTAGAATTATGTAATGAATTGTAATTTGATGTGAGTGTGCAAACTAATTGTGAAAACAGTGAAGGAAGATTAAGAGGTTAGGTTAGAGGAAGAATTATTTCAGTGAAAGGAGAATAATAAATAATTGAAGGAAAAAAAAGAAGGTAAGTATTTTGGTATATTCATAGTCATGTTTTAAATTTCCAAAAAGACAATAATGACTTCTGAAGCAAGTATACCAATTGTTACCAACTGTATGTAGGAATTACCTGAATATATGAAAAAAAAGAGGTTTTGAGGTAAATTTTATATAAAGTATAAGTTGATGCTATATATACTTTATTAAATAATAAATTACGGTTTTTATAAGATTAGAATGGCATTGTAGGTGACTTATAATCAAAGAAGAGTAAGAAGTGAAAGATTGGAAGAGATAACTCGTCAAGAAGGTAAGTTGTGTAAATTTAGTTTACAAATGCAAGAATTATTAATTCTAGATATATATTTATAATGTTATTTGAATTGGACGAAAAAATAAATGCTTACCTGAATATTTCAAAATAGCTACATAGGACTGGAGGGAGAGATATGAGGATAATCAATAATGCAAGGATCATGGAAAGAATGAAACATGGGAGGATCAAAAATGCCATAAAAGCTGGAGTTATCTTGTTGAGATCCACTTCTGATGAGAATTTAGATTTTCAGCATTCTAGTGTGGGTCATTGTATACATCTCAAACCTAAGTGACATGACCAGTAATCTAGCAGCCACCATATATACTCCACGCTTTCACAAATTCAAAACTGCCTATTTAAATCTCTGCAAATATGGTAAACTTCCAACACTATGAAGTCAGGATATGCCATCCCTTTGGCCCTTTGCATAACTTCAAATGGCATGGGTGATAAAAAAAGGGCGACCTTTTTAACAGCCATCTTGACCATGGACTCCAGTAACACATATTATTATTATTATTATTATTATTATTATTATTATCTACCCAGGAATATACTTCAGGATTATCTCATTCTGAGAAAATAACTATTTCTTCACTAGTTGAATTTTCTTCACTAGTTGAAAACTCAAAAATAAGGGGGATGGGAAGATAACCTAGTATTTAGAAGGGCAAAACTAAAACAACAACTATGCCATTGGTGAATGAAGCCCATTGGTCATTTCAACCTTTGTATTGCAGTTAAGCCATATTTCAGAAAATGAAAGATAAATTCTTCTACCAGGATAACTAAATAAAATATAAATACAAAATTTTTTTTTTTAAAAAAAAAGGTATCTTACCTAATGCTGAAAGGCTATGGATGAAGAGGTCCTGTGCATTCCCAGGATCAGGCTTTAAGATAACCTGCAAATTAGAAAAAGGTAGAGATGTTACGCCTTCATTCACACACGTACTGAGTGTCATATAACAGTACATCCACTGAACCTGAAATTGGGTGTGGCGCTGGAGCCTGTTAGGATTATCCCCATAGCGACTGTCATCTGGACGTATACTAGGTTCAACATACCTTCAAAAGGAGACCACATTCTTAAACTCATATTACATGGCAGGAAAAAAATGCAATAAGTAATTTCCGTGGGGATGCCAGAAAATATAATATAGGTGGAAAATTAACAAATTAGTTGCATTCTGCCTCATGATAACAATCCGCTCACACATGCACAACACTAGCATTTGATTCTACTGAAAGATAGAAGACATACTAGAGAGACATCGTAAAGCAATCTTACTTGTAAAATATTTTATTCATAACATCATTGAAGTTATTTTAAAAATATCACTATTTATAAAGAGGATCTTACATATGAGGAAATAATAAATAAGAAACTAATTTAACAAGTACAACCAAAAAAATTATTATGGATCTTCCAAAAATGATCAGACCTCATGGAGTTGAAAGGAGTAATCGGCATACAAGGAGATGGTATTGGCAAAATTGGTTTGCGCAATCCTCCAAGCTCACACTAGATTGAGACAAACATAATGACTTAAATCATAAAGATGTTCAAGTAGAGATAGGGGAGGGCTTTTGGAACCTAAGCTCATCTATTTACTATTTATTTTAATGATAATGAGTTTAGATTTCAATATCAATTGGCCAGCTGCATAAATTATTTGAGTCAATTTATATAAATTTAATAATAAAGGACGTTTTTTCATCGTTATTTAGTTATTGAGGCAAACTTCAAATCCCAATTATTTGTATATAACCAATATAAATTTAGAGTACTACGTTGCTCCAATTTTGTCCTTCGACTATACAAAATTGATTCAAAATAATATATTTGGGTCTAAATTGATGTAATACCCAATTTTTTTTAAAGTAGCTTGCAAATTTGAATTAATTAAATTATACGCCAAAATATTAATTTTCACAAAAATCATTACAATGCAACTCTTAATTGAAATCAGCAGAAATGAAGGATGAAGCAGGATGGAAATGAATCATGAAATTATAGAGTTTTGTAGCAAGTTGCACACTTACGCAACATTCCAGGGCTCCGGACCAAGAACACGCAAGAAAGTTAATGGATTCATGGTACCCGCTCCAACCTACAAAGTTGAAAGAAAAATTGGGGTAAGCAGTAACAACGATGAAAACTTTGCAAAAACGTTGGGACAATATGGAAGCAACATATGACGTTTACAAAGACTGAAGCAACATATAATGCAAAAACGGTATGACGGAGAACAGTTTGGTCAAGAAATAATTCAACTTCATATCAATTTTTTAGTTACCATGTAGATGGTCAGTTTGAAATTAGAACTATTGGATTCAAATTTATTCATGAACAACGCCGAACCCTATTAAGAAGTTTTAGCGGGTTAGAAATGGAAAACCAAGTGAGAAAATAAGTATGAAAAGAAAGTGAGAAGCTCTAAGATATATGTGAATAATTTAAACCATATGAAGTCCAAAATATGCCGCCTCCACCTTTATTTATAAGTTAAAGAAGGCTACAAAAAAGACTAAATCAAAAAAAATGAAAAAAAAATCATGCATGATGTTACTCAAGTATAGAGTAGACTAACACAAACATGTGTTGATTGGGGTATGTACCTTTAAAAAAGTCCTAAGCAATTTGCAAGGTCCTCTAGCAGGTGCCCTGAGCAAGTATTCAAGAGCAAGTACATTCGGTGAGTTTGAGAGAACTATTACATAGGGTGGTCTTTAAGACAGGTCCCTAAGAACCCTAAGAACGACTGGCGAGCCCTCGGGAGTAAATGGCTAGTCCCCTATGCAATAGTGGTAGTGAGCAAAAGAAAAATTAAGTCAATAAAGTCATGGCCTTAAGCTTCGTAAGTGTGAGCTTCATGTAGCTTAATATGGGATATCAAACAAAGATGAGTGGCCTTGATTGTGGACAACAGTTATGAGATGGCGAGTTCACTTGGAGCACCCTTGGGGCACAAACCTATATGGACGAGTCCTTTGGACAAACCTTTCGAGAATAAACACGCCTCTCATATGACCGCCCATGAGAGAGCACGTACATCGCAAGCTCAGCTGAGGTGAGCGATTATTTGTTCACAGGCTAGTAATAATAGCTACCTTACAAGGAAAGACTTCCTTTGGGGTGAGCATTGCTTTGACTGCATACTACCTTTTGCCAAGTCCTGTGGACACAAACTTGCTTAGACATCTATGAGTTACAAACATAGATGTATATGGGCTTATAGTAATGAAAAGCAAAAGCTAGTCCTCTTCATCCATGTTAGACCATGCCAATGCACGTTTATCCCTCTACACACACGTTATATGTGCATATATATCTACATACACACAAGCATATCTCTCAACAATCATATTGTTTCAATATCAAGATTTTATGACCAAAGATTTCTCTTTAGGAACATAAATTATACATACAAAAAGAACAAAAAAAAAAAGTTGAGTAGCAACTATTTTTAATATTAGGATAAGAAAATCATAACATGATTGCTTATAGAAACAAAACTACTTATCTACCTTACAATATAAAATTAAATGGCACAATGAGAATCAATATTCCAAATTGCAATTAGAAGGCCTCAAGCTTTAATCTATTAAGGATTAGATAATCATTTAAACTAAAAGAAGAAAAAAAAACTATAGAAGTAGTAGTGATCAATATGTCATGGCTTTGGAAATTCAAAATTCAAAATTATTTGAATTTGAATTCTTTCCTAAAATAAGTTGACTTGTTTTGAAAACCTCCCCAATCTCCTCAATCTGACATTAATTAGAGATTCTCCTCTAATCCTCTTTCCTTAATTAATGTCCTAGGTTTGAAAAGGATTTCAAATCCCCAATCAAGTTCCCTCTTGCATGGTTAGCCCCTAGTCCCTTTCCCTCCTTAATTTCCCTCTTTTCTAAATTAGTTTGATATTAATTTGGAAAGTTTTTGAATTCAAATTCAACTAAATTTGAAATTCAAATCTTAAATTAATTAACATATTTTAGGAAACCCCCCCTCAATCTTGGATTGATTAAAATCTGAAATTGAATTGGAATTAATTCCAATTTCAACATTCATTGCACCTAGACACATTCATTGAATGTGGACAACCCCCCTCCCTTTCTCTTGACCAGCCCCCTTTCTTCCCTCTCTCTTAATGAATTCCCCCCAACTAACCACCCCAATTACAGCAGCCATTTAACCCACATCAATCCAAAATGATTTTTGCTTTAATTTCTCTAGCCACCTAAGAATAAATTAACTCCGGATTTCTTTCTTAACAGCTGGAATTAATTCCAGAATTTATGAATTAATGTCCTTTCCTTAATCTATCCCCAAATCAGGAATTAATTTCAAATTTGTAGCTCCATTCTACATCATGAACTCATAGACCATAGTGGTAAAATATGCCAAAGAGACCAATTTTATAGCAAATCTTAAATGGGCCAAACTCATTACTTATGATCTCTTTCCATAAGAACACGAAGGAAACAAAATATCTTTAATTACCCTCCTTTGCATCTCCTGATATTATTAGCACAATCGCTTCTCTAGATTCATCATCCCTAAGCTAAAATTGTTAGTATAATCCCAAAGCTATCTACAATCTCCCAATAACCTAACCATCTTACTTGAGCTATCACTATCTCTAGAAATACCACCCGGGCAAAAATACTAGTCAATTATTATCATTAGATTGCCAATAAAAAAAGTTTCTTAAAAAGCTACTACAAACATCCTAATGTCCTCAGGCCTCTAGCTCCTGCAGTTGCTCATCTCCCAAGCCACATAGACTTCTTGCAACCTTATTTTCATAGCCCAAGTCTTCAAGAAGTTTAAGTTGTCTTTATGTCGTCAAAGTTTGTAAGTGTCTAAGTTTGTAAGTCTTTTATATTAAAGTGAAGTTGTTTTTAGTTCAATTGTCGTATTTTGTGTTAATCATGTAATTTCTTTTATCCTAGATAGAGTACGCTTTGCTTGCAAAAATTTGATGCCCTTCCCAAATTTTTGCTTGCATCAATTTGGTTTCAGAGCAAGTTATCGTGTGTATCTTGATGAGTCATAGCAGTTGTTATGTGTGTCATGTGAGTCTGTGGTATCGAGTGAACTTAAGTTTTGTTGAGTCTTCTTTTCTTTTAGAAAAAATGAAAAAAGATAAAAGTAGTGATCCAGTGGAAGAATGCAAGCCAGAAGATCTTGAAGTCCCTCTTCCGATGGACAGATGGATTCCAACATAAGGTGATTCAACGGATCCACTACAGAATGAACTATATAAACTTCAGTTGTGGTTGCATATGAGTGCAAAAAATTATTTGAAGAAAAGGAAACATCTGCAAGAACAGTTCAAGCAAGAGCGAGATGAAATCCTGAAGAAGTATGCGACAAAGATTCAAGAGCTAGATGCACTTCCTTCGTCTCCTCAGATCAAATCAAAAGCTTCCTCATCAGGAGATGAGCCTTTTAAAGTGAGGGAGAATCTGATGTAGGCAAGGGGGGTCAAAACAAGTTGGGATTTAATTTTGTAAGTTTCTTATTGAATCAGCTCATTAATGAGCATCTACTTATGTTTCAGCTCATAATTTGGTTTTAAATAGGTTCATTCCCCCTTCCCTTTGACGCTTTGGTTCCTTCTTGTGTCTCTTCCCTTCCCCTTGTCTTCTTGGTTTCTGCTAGCTGTTGTTGTTCCTGTGGTCCTTCTCGGTTTTCCCCTTGCTGGTTGGTTTCCCGTGCTCTGCCTCTTTGTCTCCTGTGCAGGATTTTCGGGTCCCTTGCTGGCTGGATCCCTATGGCCTGTTGTTTTGGCTCCTGTGCTGATTTTTCGGGTCCCTTGCTGGCTGGATTCCCGTGGCTGTTTGGGGGGGGATTTCCATGGAATTTTTCCTGTTTTCTGTGCAGTTTTCCTGTAGCTGTTTGCTGTCTTTTGGCCTTCTCTTTAGTGACCTTTGGCCTTGCATTTCCTCAATTCTAATTGGATTTGGTTAGAGATGTTATGGCTATTTGTCTACCTTCTTTTGCCTATAAATAGAAGATGTTTTTGTATGACTAAAAAGAGGATGTTATGATGTAATTTTTGGAAGCCAAAACCTGCGGGTTTGTTGTTTGGAAAAACTTGCGAGCTTTGTCCAACTACTCTTCTTCTTCCTTCTAGGAAAGCTTGCGAGCTTCTCTTTCCTTTCGTCTTGGCTTCTAACCTCTTTCTTCTCGCCGCAAGTGCCACTCCATATGTATCTTTCTTCTCAAGCGATGGAAATGCAAGTTTAGGTTTTTATTATATAAGTTTGTTTGAGTCTTTTGTAATCATCGTTTGTGAGCGTCTTTTGTTGTAAGTGTCCTTTGTATATGTTATAAAGTTGTTGAATGTTGTGAGCAAAGTCTCTACAAAAACCTGAGGGTTTCTTCTCTTGGAAAAGCTTGAGAGGTTGTTCCACCCCCTTTCCTCTTCTCTATTTCGTATTGGCTTCTAACCCCTTCTTCTCTACGCAAGTTCGACTCCACCTGTATCCTTCTTCTCAAGGCAAAGCAACTTTAGGTGTTTAAGTTGTCTTTATGTCATCAAAGTTTGTAAGTGTCTAATTTTGTAAGTCTTTTATATTAAAGTGAAGTTGTTTTTAGTTCAATTGTCGTATTTTGTGTTTATCATGTAATTTCTTTTATCCTAGGTAGAGTACTCTTTGCTTGCAAAAATTTGGGGCCCTTACCAAATTTTTGCTTGCATCAACAACAGTCCAATGTTCATCCATTGGAAGAATTTCCAATGGTTACAGCACCATCTTTTGTCAGATACTTGAAATTCTACTTTCAGTTTGTTTTATTTTTCTTTCATTAATCATTGTCTAGTGTTACAAGTTAAAAAGTTGAGTCTTTATTGGTTTCTGTGTTTATTAGTTCATTCTTCATTCTAGTGTCAAGTGTCACAAACCCTAAGCTAAGACCTTAAGCATAAATTAATTAGATTAAGATCCTTATCTGACAACTGATGAGGACATCGTCAGCATTTTCGACGCCGGAGATCGACGGCCACGAGCATGACTTGTATTTTGTCATTTTATGTAGTAGCGTATTTTATTTTGATGTTTTTCCGCTTTTGCCCTTATGGGCATTTAGTCGCTTATGTAGCCCGGAAGGGCATTTGTGTCATTTCTTGTTTTTTTTCATTTTGGCCTATTTATATGAGGCCTCATGTATTGTAATTTCAGTTTTTGATGAAATGAAAATTATCCCCTTTTGTTCTCTTTGTCAATGCATTTCCCTTTGATCTCTTAGTGAGTTCAAAGGGAGAACTAGATCTCTCCGTGAGTTCTAGATTTAATTCGTGCTTGTAGTGTGAAGGAGAAGAAGAGCAGAAATTTGAGGCGAGGAAATCGTTGGAAGAAATTCTCAGACTTCGTCCAAATTTCCCTTCTCCTCCACCTTGTGCCGCCTCCCTGGGCCAGCAACAGCAGCCGGCCTCACTGGCCTTCCCGTCCTAGTCAGGCCGCTGGCCTCACTAGCCATCCCGACCCAGCAAAAATCCCCTCCCGCCGGCCCAAAACCCCACTCAGCAGCCGCCGGCCACTCCCGCCCACCAGCCCTTCCCCCCTGCGCCGCCCCTTTTTCCCTCTTCTTTTTTCTCAGTTTTCAAATTATGAACGTTGGGTTTAATAAACATTTAATGTTGCCTAAACACTCCTTAATTTAAGCCATCAAATAAATTGTTTGGATTTGAAATTCAAATTCAAATTCAATCCAATTAAATGCTTAAGTTAGGAAACCTCTAAATTTACTCAAACTGAATTGTTAATTTCAGATTTTATTAAATCTGAGATTAATTTTGTGGACCCCACTTGCTTAATCTCCACTTCCCCCTTTTCTCCCCCTTGGCCGGCCCCCTCCTTGGTCTCTTCCCTCTCTCCTAATCACCATAAATTCCACAAATTCAGCCCCAAATCCTCCCTATTAACCGCCCTCTCCTCTCATGGATTTAATTTGTTTTTCAAATTAATACCTCCAATTAAACCTTCCACAATGAATTCCTGCAGAAATTTTCCTGCAGCCTCTCTTTTCTCCCTCCTTGGTCCGAACTCTCTACCCACCCATTCTTGCCTTTTCTCCTCCAATGCCCGAGCCGCCATTCTCCGGCAACCTATCCAAACGACGTAATGAACGAACGACGATCCAAGGCTCCCCCTTCCTCGGCGCGACCTCGATTCTAAGGTGGAGACTCTTCTTCCGCTAAAGCCTAGATTAGTTGAGCGTACGGGCTCCAAAGGTGAAAGTTCTTATTATTAAGTTGTGGATTTTTGTTCACCGTCGTAGTTTTACAATTTGAACTTTGCGTTTTCTTAAATTGTTTGGTTTCCGGATTTTGCTCATCCTTGCCTAAGCAAGTTAAAACCACGAATTCTAATGATCACTCTTTTATTATAAACGATAATTTTATTTTGGGTTATTAAGTTTCAATAGCTCTCTATAATTTCCTAAAGTAACTCCATCGCATGTACGTTTCACATCAACAACTCATTACAAAATCTATATACAACTCAAATCCCAAGAGCATGCCAAGGCTTCACTCTAAAAATTTTTCAAAGTCACAAATACTTCTAACAAGTTAAGGCACTAAAACCACACCCATTTGGGCTAAGGCCTCCAACATAGATAGAAAGGAACAAAGCCCAATCAATCTAAAGGCAAGCCCCAATGCTATCCAAAATTTCCTAAGAAAATTAAGGTCCACTCAACTAAACCATAATCTAATACTCTCAAACATTGATATTTGGGAAAATCCTCGGATAAATTAACCTATTATTTCCAAAAAGGATGTCTACTATTATTTCCAAAAAGGATGTCTACACATCACATTTAAGGTTCCATGATGATGAAAATCGGTAACCTGATAAACCTAGATTATGCAACCATGGGATCTTCAACTTTGATAGAGACTATGGGATATTCTTCTTTAATAAACACACACTGATGAATGCGAGAAAAGGTGAACTGAAGCAAAGGTTGTTTCATGTGAAAAAATTTTGCAAAAGAGATGAAGAGAGCAAAATAGAAAAGGGTTGGTGAGAGCAACCTAATCCAATAAATGCTAGTTAATTTATGACAATCACTAGATCCCCATTATTGTCGTAAAAAGCAATTACATGAATGACTCTAATCATAATAATTATAAAGAATTTGAAAATAAAGCAATAAAATAATCTAAGGAGCAAAAATTAAGAATTACCAACTTATATGAACTAATAAAGTCAAAAATGATAATCACTCAAGCTAATCGACATTGCATATATATCATGATCGGAAAGTCTCCATCATTAACAGCACTAACAATATAATAAAAAATATATACACAATTACAATTTAGTTTTTAAGAATGCATAGGATTGTACATTTGTACTTGATGGTTCTCTATTGTTCTTATGATCCTAAAAATGCAAACAATAGCATATCAAGTAGAGCACTGAGGTGAAGCTTTAAGGAGAAAAAGTGCATAACAAATAATTAATTAAGGATAAGTATGAGCTAAGCATAATTTGAGTTTCCAGCTCATGCATCACCCTACCAAAATGAATCAAAAATAAAATTTATAAAGCCAATGGCAAAGTGGTCGGGTAAGGATAAGAATAATGACAATAATGATGATTGAATGAGAAAATATTGAACGATATTAGCATTACCTAACATAGAAGCGTTACAACAACTCAACAAAGAAAAGAATTGTGGTAACATCCTTCTAAACTTGTAATAGCATCCTTATAGTTGACATAGAAGTGTCAATGGTATGTCTTGTTTGGATTTATATTTAGATGGCTTAATAGCAACCACCATCCAAATTCCTAATATAGCAGTACATTCATTAAGGTTTTTAAAATGTCCTCAAACAAAAAAAATTGCATGCAATTTCTTAACTAGAATAAAAAGAAAGGGTAAATGGAGATAGCTACCGGTTTAGCGTAATTAATTTAGCAATATTCAAAATGAAGTAAAGGAATTAAAGAAAGTGTAATCATTTTATATGAGTAAGATTGCTAACAATTTATGGTTTAAGTAACAAATATAGTGGATATAAAGAAGAAAATAGTAGCTTATTCAAAAATTAGAATATTAGACTTAGTAGTTAAGGACCATATTATGATACATTAACCGACAACAACACTAACAATAGAAGCATTTAAGACAAATTGTTGTAGCTAAGCAAAAAAAAAAATCCCACAATTCAGCAGACAATGATAAAATGCCATATTTAGCTGTACTTGAGTCGCTAGCATGCTGGCACAATAAACTAATTTCATGTGAAAATGCATGCAACCATGTGCTATGAAAGGAAGCACACAACAATGGCATAATCGCAAGAAAGATATTCAATACAACAACAACAACATCAATCATTTATCCCACTATGTGAGGTCGGCTACATGAATCATTTTTCTCCATTGTGTCAGATTAAAAGTCAAACTCTCATTTAGAAGCAAGAAATTCAATGATTTAGAAAAAAAAATCATTCAATCACCTCTGTGTTGCTACACTGCATTATCGAACACCCAACTGAAGCCCAATACTCCTATAGCATTTAAAACCACTGATAATTAGTGCTTTGAATTGTGCATGAATATGACATGGTATTAAATAAAAATATAAAATTTTAATAGGACAAGCCGCTTGTGCATGCAGCACAATTTTGAATATATTTCAAGAACTCCACACAAGCTCAGTTGGGTGCAGCTTTTGAATTACTCATCTTGCAGACTTTAATTAAAAGCACTAGAGAAGTAACTAAAATGCAAATAGAAGTAATATCAATAGAAGCAATCAACTTCACAAAATAGCAAAGGATTCCTCGAAACCTAAAATTCAATTACGAAGAAGCACAATGTTTTCTCTAATTAATAAATATTGAAGAATATTACTGATGACACATTACTATCAAGCTCAATGACAACCCAACATTAAATTGTACTTGGTTTTCATTGCAAGCTATTTTCTGATGCTTATATATTGGATATGATTTCTGGAGTTAGATTTAGAAGTGAAATTGGATATGATTATTGTATACATACAGGTAAATCCAAATAGGGGTAGTTGATCTAATTAGGTTTACAACATAACATAACTATCATATAATAACTTACAATAAATAATTTACAGAAAATTATGACTGAAAAACACAAGATAGAATGAATGATCATAGTAACGGGCTAACCACAAAAGCAGAGTTGCAAGCTAAGGTTAATTCCAATAGAAGTGATGTTCATAATAGTATGAGTGAGGAGGGCAGACCCAACAAAATTAAGATATTATGAAGTGATTTTTTAAGTGGTTGAAAATTTTATATATATTGAAAAGTCATCTTTAAACCATGGGCCGAAGTCTGAATTTGGTAATAAAGTGGACCAATATCTGAGAATGCTTTAGACTTTTAAACCATCAGCATTCAAAGGAACATGTGAGCCAACTATTACTAAGGACTGCTTGTTAAAAATACCAAGAATTTTGGATTGTATGATTTGTCCTGAAAAATAAAAAAGTGGAGTAGACAACTTTGATGTTAGAGGAGAGGTTGAGAGATGGTGCCAAGCACAGTGTTCTGAGAAATTGCAAATAATGCCTTTATAAATAATTAAATTAGATGATTTTATAAAAGTGCTTGAACGCTACATTATTTCAACCACAACAAAATTAGCACTGTAGGATAAACTCTTTAATTTAACTTGGGTATCGAATATAGAAATGTAGTATGAGTAAGAGTTCACATTGGTAGGAAGGTATACTTCTCATTATGTCAATACCCATGAAGAAAAGTATTACAAATTTTTTAGAGGTCTAGGAGATCAATTTAGACTTGCTTTAACACCTTTTTCCATAAATAAATTTTCAATTTTAATTAAAAGTGCAAGAAGAGTTAAGCACAAGCTGAATTAATCCAAGAAAAACTTGGAGCAACAATCTGATGAGAAAAATAAATTTTGATAAAGGAGAAAACTTCAGGAATAAGTACAAATTTTTTAAAATAAGTAAAATCAAATAGTCTTACAAGTCATTATCTATGATGCACCGACACGGACACGTTGACACGGAAACGACACGACGCGGACATGGGACACGGCATTTTTTAAAAATATAGGACACGGGTGCGGCGTGGACACGACATAATAATTTTTTAATATAATATATATAAATTAAGGTGACATTATATTAAAAATGACAAGCAATAATAAATCAATTTCATGATAACTTGTTTAGCTTATAGCATATAAAGTGGGGTTTTTCTTGATAGACGATGAAGATTTGTATGCACATAAACTAAATCTTCAGCTCGTTGTGGAGTTATTTTATTTCTCTTCATTGATTGAATAAATGAGTATGTGCTCCAATTTCTCTCACAATAGGAAGATGATGATATTTGAAGTTCTACTTTTTTTTAAAGTTCGTAAGTTATTTGTATGGAAAGATACTGAGCGGTACCGAGTATGTACCGAGCATGTACTGAGCAGTACCGAGCATGTACTGAGCAGTACCGAGCATGTACTGAGCGGTACCGAGCATGTACTGAGGGGTACCTAGCGATACCTAGCGGTACCGAGCATGTACATTGTAGTACCGAGCATGTATCTAGCGGTATCGAGCAAAAAAAAAACCATTAATATTTCAGGCGTCGATGCCATTTATCAGTCACCGAGAGAGGAGATGAAAATATCTTCACTACCAAAAAGAAATGAAAATGAGAATATTCGATGATTGGGAATTAAGTGCGGACGTTGATTTGGTGTTATGGATAGGAAATAAGAAATTTAGTTTAAATCCCGCAAAATATAAGAAATTATATTTTAAAAAGTTCATAAAATATTTATGATACGTGGGTCGGACACGCGTGTCCAATTTGCATTTAATATTTTTAATTGGACACGTTTTCGGCGTGTCCGACACGTGTCGGAGGAGTGTCGGACGAGTGTCATGTCGGACACGGTGTCGGACACTGCACGCCTCCTTGAGGAGAAGTATCGGTGCATCATAAGTCATTATGCGAGCAGTGTGAAATGGGATATCTTGAGTTAGGTCTTTTTGGTTCCAGCAAATAATTCTGATGTGGAGATGTAGGGCACCACAAGATAGACTATCCTTTGGGAAAGAATGATGGTGGGCCACAAGGATTTCAAGGACAATCTCAACATAGGATGTTTTTGGAGGGCAACCCCAAAGCAAGTAAATCTCAAGTCTATGAAAAGCAATCAGTGCACGCAAGGAGAAATTTCAAAAAAGAAGTGTAATCATCCAGTGAAAGCAAGGGTCCCAGAGAGACCAAAGAAATAGAGGAAGTGGTTATAAGTAAGCTTTTAATTTCCAGTCAATTTGGCATAGTTCTATTAATATTGGTACTTCAAATACACTTATTTCTAATGAGTTTTCTACCAGTTTATCTGTTGAAATCCCGTGCTTTGTACATGAATTGCATGTTATGATGACTCCTAGAGATAGCATGTATGCTAATACAAAACATATTGCACACACTGATATCCATGATAGGAAACTATAAAGCAAAATCGATTAACCAATGACTGTTTTTTATATTATTTTGGGGCTGGACTGATTAATTAGATATTTTACTACTACTGAATTTTGGAAGAAGAGATTTAGGTTTAATCTGCCCAATGATAAACCATTTATTTCTCTTGCGATAAGATTATTATTGGCTTCTCTCTAGCTAGAGCTTTAAATATAAGTTAAAAGAAGAAAAGTGATGATTTAGTACTCTTGATTATAATTAACGCAATCTGGCTAGAGGTATTTCTCTGCTACTCACTACTCTCACAGTTAAGGCTAAGTTTTCAAAAGCCAAAAATCATTACTTCACTATTACATGGGTATTTATAAAGGTCCTTAGGGGTGACATGAGGAGGCTTCTTAGTCATGCGGATAAAAAGGTGTGCCTACTCATTGGCCGCTACAAAGGTCTTTGGGGGAAGTGGCCACATCGCAACAGATAAGCAGTTGATAGTGCGGTGTGGTCTATCATCAATTACTATAGTAGTGGCATAGAGGATTGAAGTGTCTATTATCCTAGCCACCATAAGACCCCATAAAAAAAAAGGCCATCTATCAATTATTGGATGGTCAGCAAAAATTCGTCATGTCATGATCTACAAGAAATATATGCGGGCGCCTAATAATTTGTATGGTGCGTAAAAAATACCAAGTATTATCCTCATGCATGGCATCATTGGTACTAAATGCATTGGTTCTAGAATCTACGTATTTCCTTGGCGTTGTTAACTTGGCATGCCCAATGAATTACCAAAACAGCTCCTTGGCCATTATTCCATGTTCGCTCCTAAGGGCTAACAACAAGAGGTCATTGGGCCTACCCGAGCTGACCAAGTAGAGAACAGAAGCCACCTATATACTAATTGATCGATTTTTAGGTATACATGTGGACTTGATCAGATGGTGATTGATACATATTGTAAATGTAGCCAAATATACAACTTACAATTAAGATAACGCACTTTGATTCAGAATTTTCATGAATAGCATATCTACAAGGACGCGTAGTTCTTTTGGATTTTAAGTCATACACTAGCGCGCCAAGTCATATTCAAAAATAAGACAAACCAAAAAGGTCGGGAAAGAACAACATGTCAGGGCTCAGAAATCCTAGCATTCCATAGTAAAAGTTTGCGTCTCCAAATATCGCAGGCTCTCAAATAACACAAATCCGGAAAAACTAGAGAGAACCTGAAGGCGATGAATAGCCTCTTGGAAAGTGGGCACTAATGCTTTGCCTCTCGTTTCACGCCCGTGAAGCGTAGGATGCAGTTCTAACGAAGTGCTCGCAGAAGGGAACCCATTACTCCGTGAAGGAACTGTCAAACGAAGAGGATAGAAGCCAAGGAAGCGTTTAGGGATTTCACGGCGGAGATGGAGGTAGCGGAGACGAGCGTCGTGGGGTTCAAGGGCATGGAAGGCGAGGGGGCAGCATAACAGAAACATGGGAGGGGGAGTGCCGGGATAAGGCGAGAGCAGAGAGTGTTCGGGGTAAAGTGACAGAAACAATTGCTGGTTTGGGAAGGATATAGGCTTGTTTGTTTTTTTAGTGATTTTGTAAAATACAGTTTTAAAAAATATTAGTTTAGAAAATGGAGTTTTCTAAGTGAGAAGTATATATAAAAAGCTTTCTCAAAATTGTAGAAAAATGAAAAAAAAGAGTTATTGGGAACGTGATTTGACGAACCAAACAACACAAAAAAATTCCTCCGTTTTTTGAAACATAAAAGGCAAAAAAACGCTCAAACAAACAAAGCCATAATAAATCGGTCACATTTTTTTAATTTTTTTAAATATATTTAATTTTATTTTAAAATAAGTCGGAATTTTTTTTTAAATGCTCAAAAAAATATTTTGAATATTTTTAAAAATTATGTATCATTGATAGCCTATGCCATCAACACTATCATCAATCCCCTACCATCATCATTGATGGTTAGTGTTGCATGCTAGAATATATAAAAGTTCGTGTATGTTGTTAAACTTAAATAAATCAATCTGAGACAAAAGCTTGAAAAAGATAAGGAAGAATCTTGCTTGGAGTAACCTTGTAAATCCCTCACAAATCTCCCTTACAAAAATCTCTCCCTCTCTTCTCTCTCCCAAAGCTCCCCTATGCACATCTTTGCTCCCTCACAAAAATAATTAGCAGCCAAAAGTCTCTCAAATAAAACAATATGAGAGTTTAAATAGAGAGCCTAAAAAAAATCCCTAAATTTCAATATGGCGCTTCTGATCGTCCAGTACAATCCAAGATCACCCGACAAAACTGCGATTTTTGAACTAATTGTACTATATAATAGTCATATTGTACAGGACAATTTACCTAAAAATAACTAATTATACTATACAATGAAAACAATACAAGACGAGTGATAGAAATGACGTTCAGTTGTCTTAGGAATTGTCTCGTACGAATAGAAGAAATTAAACAGATCGTACTAGATTATCTCTAGATCGTACTATACGATGTTTTCATAAAATTTGAACATATCATTTGAACAATTGTTTATATCGTACTGGATAGAACTAGTTTTGAATTGATCGTATTATACGAACTTGGATCGTATTGTATAAATAATGATAGCCAACTTGAATTTTTAGGATTTCTTAAAGTTTATTATAAAAGTCATGCGTTAATCATTTTTTAAGGATGCCATGAGAGGAACGTGATTGAAGGAGGAACTCTGAGAGGGAGATTTTGAAGAAAATCAGGGTTTGTAAGAGGAAGGAGAAGGTAATGAGCATAAGTAATTATATGAGCTGAAAAGGACTCTATGCGGCCACCACGAGTGAACTCAGACTGTGCAAAACGTTCTCCTCATCATATCCATTAATCTCTAACGGTCCAATCTGGAATGTTGAAGTCCCCATCTACTTTCCTACTCTTCACTATATGTATGCTTGGCTACAGTGAATACGATAGGAAAACGAATTACTTCTGATATGGTTCTTTCTGTATCTTTTCCTCCTTCTCTGTTTTTGCTTTGCTAACTTGCAGGTGCAGATACTTCAACATGGTAACAGAGCATTTTTTAGGCCTTACGGCTTAATCAATCTCAATGACGTCTTCGGCTTCGTCTTCTACGTCAATCCCTGCTACTCCGTTTGCTGTGAAAATGGCGGACGTAACCATACCGTCACAGCTGAAGTTTCTGATGTCCAATGTAAAATCCATTCTTAATCTCCAACTAACTGCCGATAATTTTCCTATGTGGAAGTCTCAGATTCAAAAGCTATTTACGGCAAATGGATTTGATGGGTATTTGGACGGCACCATCACAAAACCTCTGAAACTCATCTCTACCGCCTTCGGCGATACAAGCCAATACAGAATATGCTACATGGCTTTTAATTGATCAAAACCTTGCTGTTGTTCTATACTCAACTATTTCTAATACATTTCTTCCCTATGTTTTAAATCTGGATTCATGTTCCGATATCTGGACAACTATTGAACAGCGACTGCAATCGACCAACTGTTCAAGGATCTTACAGTTCAAAAACGAGCTACATCATGTGTCCATGATGGATAAATCGATGATGCAGTACTTATCAGAGATCAAGAGCAAAGTTGATGCCATTGGTTCTTATGGTTCTCCGTTACCTACAGATGATATTATTATGTATACAATTAATGGATTACCTCCCACGTACCAGACGTTCAAAACATTCATTCGCTCTAATCTAAACCCCATAAGTTTAGATGATTTTTATTCTCTATTATGCAGTGAGGAACTGAATCTTGCTGCAGACTCTGTTCGTGATCTAAAATCTCCTCCTCGTCAGATTCCATTTCTACGTTGTATGCTCAACGCGGTCGAGGGCGATGTCGCTCCTCTCGTGGACGGTTTTCTCCCCGTTCAGGACGCGGTCGGGCTTCACCTTCCCGATCACAAAATGTCTCTTCTACTCCGATGGAATGCCAAATTTGTAGAAAGCTGGGTCACTCTGCTTTTAAGTGCTGGTATCGGGGTGATTTTTTGTTTCAACCTACAGTTCAGGCATATGCATATGATGCTACATCGGTGTCATCTGATATGATATTGGTGCATCGTCGCATCTCACCAGTGATTCAGGTCAACTTTACCAGCCTTAAGCTTACAATGGAAATCAACAAGTCATGATCGGCAATGGTGATCTTCTACCAATTACGCATACTGGTAAAGGCTTGTTACCTACCCCTACTCATAAGCTTCATCTTAATTCACTTCATCTTGTTCCTAATCTCAATTGCAATCTTCTCTCTGTTAATAAGCTTACTGCTAACAATGCTTGCACTGTTCTTTTTTATTCTCATGGATATACAATCAAGGATCATAAGAACAATCAAGTTCTCCTTCAAGGCCAGTCTCGTTGAGGTCTTTATCCAATCTCTACTAAAATCAGCTCTGATTCTTCACAGTTTGCTCTTACCGCAACTACCTCCACGACTTCTCTTTGGCACAGTCTCTTGGGACATCCTTCTTCACAAGTTTTACTCAAGCTTCAAAAAGTAAAGTTATTTCTCCACTTAGTTCAGCTGTTTTTTCTTCTATCAATTGTAAAGCTTGTGCTACTTCAAAAAGCCACAAGCTCCCCTTTTCTCCTTCTATTTCTCGTACTAGTAGTCATCTTCAGTTAATACATAGTGATGTATGGGGACCTTCTCCCAAGTTATCTTTATAAGGCTTCAAATATTATGTTATTTTCATAGATGACTTCTCTCGTTTTTGTTGGTTATATAATTTGAAAGCTAAATCTGAGGTTGCTCTTACTTTTTATCATTTTAAAAGCCTTGAGGAAAATCAATTTAATGCTAAAATAAAATGTTTACATTCTGATGGTGGTGGAGAATATAATTCTACACAATTTCAATCATTTCTAAAACAATCTGGCATTATTCATCAACAAACTTGCCCACATACACGTGGGCAAAATGGGCTTGCTGAACAAAAACATAGGCATATCACTGAAATAGCTCGAGCTTTGCTCTTTGAAGCAAACTTACCTACCCATTTTCGGGCACATGCTGTCCAAACTGCCATTTCTCTTATTAATTGCTTGTCATCCCTCTCTCGAAAATCTACTTCTTCATTCGAACTTCTGTACAAAACTAAGCTGGATTAGAACAGGTTTAAAACATTTGGATGTCTATGCTACCCGTTTCTTCCTTCCCAATTTCATACTAAATTTCACCCCAAATCACTTCCTTATATTTTCCTTGGGTATCCTTCCAATACCAAAGGTTATATATGCTTTCACATAGAGTCTGACAGATTTTTTATTTCCTGACATGTGAGGTTTGTTGAATCTATTTTTTCTTATTCAACAACTACAAGTACTCCTCCACCTCCCACATCTTCAGTTTATACATCTCCTCTGTTAATTGTTCCAACTACCGTTCAGTCACCTCACCAATCTTCATCCACTCGGCAACCTGCCTCACAAATAATTGATGTTTCTAGTCTACCACAACCAGCAGCTTCTCCCACCATTTCTCCTACTGCTGCTTCCAGTTCAGACAACTCCAAAAAAATTCCATCTCCAACTCTTCAGCCTATTCAAAGTAACCATCCAATGCTTACTCGTTCCTGCACTGGTACGCTCAAGCCTCATCATATTATCAGTATGCATACCTCTGTTACATCACTTGATCCGACTTGTTATACACAAGCTGTTAAAGATGTTGTTTGACGCCGTGCAAAGTCCTCAGAATTTGCTGCATTACATAAACAAGGAACTTGGTGGTTAGTTCCACCGCATCCGCTTCAAAATGTTCTTGGATCGAAGTCGATTTATAAAACCAAATTAAATTCGGATGGATATGTGGCACGTCATCGAGCTCGTCTTGTTGCTCAAGGGTGCCACCAACATTATGGTATTGATTATGGATATACATTTAGCCCAGTTGCTAAGTTATCTACCATCCGAATTCTTTTGACACTTGCTGTCAATTTTAAATGGAATATACTACAGCTTGATGTGTCAAATGCTTTCCTACATGGTTCACTAAGTGATACAGTCTACATGTCTCAGCCCCTAGGATTTAAGGATCCTCTATATCCCGATCATGTATGTCTATTACAGAAATCTATTTATGGATTAAAGCAGTCTCCAAGAAAATGGTTTGAGACATTTTCAACATATTTGCTGTCTTATGGTTTCAAACATAGTTCGTCGGATACGTCTTTGTTGATTTATCATAAGCAGTCAACCACTATCTACATTCTAATTTATGTAGATGATATTTTTCTTACCGACAGTGATGAATCAGTCATCCAAAATCTTCTCTCTGCTTTATCTTCACGGTTTAATATGAAAAATATGGGACCAGTTTCTTATTTTCTCGGTATACAGGTTGAACGAATTCCATATGGTTTACATATTTTTCAATCAAAGTATGCCTTTGAAATTTTGAATCGGGCAGGCATGACCGATTTCAAACCGCTTGCATCTCCTGCTCCAGCTAAATCTCCTCCTACTTCGGCTGTTGATCTCTTGTCGGATCAAGCCCAGCTCTTTCGCCATCTG